CTGGGTAATGCAGGGAGGATTCTGGGTAATGCAGAGAGGATTCTGGGTGATGCAGGGAGGATTCTGGGTAATGCAGAGAGGATTCTGGGTAATGCAGGGAGGATTCTGGGTAATGCAGGGAGGATTCTGGGTAATGCAGGGAGGATTCTGGGTGATGCAGGGAGGATTCTGGGTAATACAGGGAGGATTCTGGGTGATGCAGGGAGGATTCTGGGTAATGCAGGGAGGATTCTGGGTAGTGCAGGGTGGATTCTGGGTAATGCAGGGAGGATTCTGGGTAATGCAGGGAGGATTCTGGGTGATGCAGGGAGGATTCTGGGTAATGCAGGGAGGATTCTGGGTAGTGCAGGGTGGATTCTGGGTAATGCAGGGAGGATTCTGGGTAATGCAGGGAGGATTCTGGGTAATGCAGGGAGGATTCTGAGTGATGCAGAGAGGATTCTGGGTAATGCAGGGAGGATTCTGGGTAATGCAGGGAGAATTCTGGGTAATGCAGTAGGGATTCTGGGTGATGCAGAGAGGATTCTGGGTAATGCAGTAGGGATTCTGGGTGATGCAGAGAGGATTCTGGGTAATGCAGTAGGGATTCTGGGTGATGCAGAGAGGATTCTGGGTAATGCAGGGAGGATTCTGGGTAATGCAGAGAGGATTCTGGGTCATGCATGGAGGATTCTGGGTAATGCAGGGAGGATTCTGGGTAATGCAGGGAGGATTCTGGGTGATGCAGGGAGGATTCTGGGTGATGCAGTGAGGATTCTGGGTAATGCAGTAGGGATTCTGGGTGATGCAGAGAGGATTCTGGGTAATGCAGGGAGGATTCTGGGTAATGCAGAGAGGATTCTGGGTCATGCATGGAGGATTCTGGGTAATGCAGGGAGGATTCTGGGTAATGCAGGGAGGATTCTGGGTGATGCAGGGAGGATTCTGGGTGATGCAGTGAGGATTCTGGGTAATGCAGGGAGGATTCTGGGTGATGCAGAGAGGATTCTGGGTAATGCAGGGAGGATTCTGGGTGATGCAGGGAGGATTCTGGGTAATGCAGGGAGGATTCTGGGTAATGCAGAGAGGATTCTGGGTCATGCAGGGAGGATTCTGGGGGATGCAGGGAGGATTCTGGGTAATGCAGGGAGGAATCTGGGTGATGCAGGGAGGATTCTGGGTAATGCAGGGAGGATTCTGGGTAATGCAGGGAGGATTCTGGGTCATGCATGGAGGATTCTGGGTGATGCAGGGAGGATTCTGGGTAATGAAGGGAGGATTCTGGGTAATGCAGGGAGGATTCTGGGTAATGCAGGGAGGATTCTGGGTGATGCAGGGAGGATTCTGGGTAATGCAGGGAGGATTCTGGGTAATGCAGGGAGGATTCTGGGTAATGCAGGGAGGATTCTGGGTAATGCAGAGAGGATTCTGGGTAATGCAGGGAGGATTCTGGGTAATGCAGGGAGGATTCTGGGTAATGCAGGGAGGATTCTGGGTAATGCAGGGATGATTCTGGGTAATGCAGGGAGGATTCTGGGTAATGCAGGGAGGATTCTGGGTAATGCAGGGAGGATTCTGGGTAATGCAGGGAGGATTCTGGGTGATGCAGGGAGGATTCTGGGTAATGCAGGGAGGATTCTGGGTAATGCAGGGAGGATTCAGGGATATGTACCTAAAGCTTTTAAGGTTGCTGTAATTAAACCTCTGCTTAAGAAACCGTCTCTTGACCCAGATGACTTGGTTAATTATAGACCTATATCCAATCTTCCTTTCTTATCCAAAATTCTTGAGAAAGTAGTTGCCAAACAAGTTTGCGACCACTTACACCATAATGAACTTTTTGAAGAGTTTCAGTCTGGCTTTAGAGCTCATCATAGCACTGAAACAGCTCTGGTGAAAGTCACTAATGATATTCTCATGGCCTCAGATAATGGACTTGTATCTGTGCTCGTCCTGTTGGATCTTAGTGCTGCATTTGATACAGTTGACCATAATATTCTTTTAGAAAGACTTGAATATTTTGTTGGAATTAAAGGAACAGCACTAGACTGGTTTAAATCCTATCTATCTGATCGAATTCAGTTTGTTTATGTTAATGATAGATCTTCAACACACTCAAAGGTTACCTGTGGAGTACCACAGGGATCAGTGCTAGGACCAATTCTCTTTACTTTATACATGCTCCCAATTGGTAGAGTTATTAGACAGCATGGGATTAATTTCCACTGTTATGCTGATGATACCCAGCTATATCTGTCTATAAATCCAGATGAAGCTAACCCATTACATAGATTACAAGCATGTCTTGAAGACATAAAAACCTGGATGACTCTTAACTTTCTGCTTCTGAATGCAGACAAAACAGAAGTTATAGTCTTTGGACCAGAGTCTCTGAAAAAGAAGCTGATTAGCCAGTCACTTCATTTGGATGGGATTAAACTGATTTCAGATAATAAAGTAAAAAATCTTGGTGTTATTTTTGATCAGGACCTGTCATTTAAATCCCAGATCAAAGAGGTTTCTAGAATTTCCTTCTTTCATCTGAGGAACATTGCAAAAATTAGAAATCTCCTGTCCAGGGGTGATGCTGAGAAACTAGTCCATGCATTTGTTACTTCAAGGCTGGACTATTGTAATTCTTTACTATCAGGAAGTCCACAAACTGTAGTTAAAAGCCTTCAGCTGATCCAAAATGCTGCAGCCAGAGTTCTGATGAAAATTAAAAAGAGAGATCATATCTCTCCTATCCTGGCTTCTCTTCATTGGCTTCCTGTTAAATCAAGAATAGAATTTAAAATCCTCCTTCTCACATATAAAGCCTTAAATGGCCAAGCTCCATCTTATATCAGAGATCTGATTGTTCCTTATGTTCCTAACAGAGCACTTCGCTCTCAATCTGCAGGTTTACTAGTGGTTCCTAGAATTTCTAAAAGTAGAATGGGAGGCAGATCTTTTAGTTATCAGGCTCCTCTCCTGTGGAACCAACTACCAGTTTTAGTCCGTGAGGCAGACACTCTGTCTACTTTTAAGACTAGGCTTAAAACTTTCCTTTTTGATAAAGCTTATAGTTAGGGTGGCTCAGGTTATCCTGAGCTCTCTCTCTATAGTTATGCTGCTATAGGCTTAGACTTTTGGAGGACATAGGGACCCCCCATTTCATCATTCTGCTTCATTCTCTCTCTGTTCTCCTATTCTGCAGAATCTGTTTGTTCAATCTCTAACCTTCTGCTCTCTCTGCTTTTCCTCAGAGTAGCTTTGCCTCGTCTGTTCCTGTTTGGCTGTGACGTCATCCAGGAAAGAAACATCAGCTGTGCTGCTTCCATCAGCACCCTTGTTTGTAGATGTTGGAGATCGGCCTGTCTTCAGGTGTGGTCATGTTTCTCTGGCCGTGGCTGGGTGGATGTGCTCTCTTCATCCTCTGGCATGGGAGCTGCCTTGGAGCTCGTCTGCCTGGCTGTGTGTTTCCTGGACGGGGCCGCCTTTTACAGCTGCTTTTTGTATCTCTGCTTCTGTCTCCTTGAACCCCAGTCGGCCTTGGCAGATGGCCGCTCACACTGAGCCTGGTTCTGCTGGAGGTTTCTTCCTGTTAAAAGGGAGTTTTTCCTCTCCACTGTCGCTACAAGCATGCTTAGTGTGAGGGATTGTATTTGAGTCAATGAGTCAATGCAATCAACTGGTTTTCCTTAGATAGAAAACTTTGTATCAATTTGACTGTATGATCTGGTTGAACTGTAAAGTGCCTTGAGATGACATGTGTTGTGAATTTGGCGCTATATAAATAAACTGAATTGAATTGAATTGAATTAATGCAGGGAGGATTCTGGGTAATGCAGGGAGGATTCTGGGTGATGCAGGGAGGATTCTGGGTGATGCAGGGAGGATTCTGGGTAATGCAGGGAGGATTCTGGGTAATGCAGGGAGGATTCTGGGTAATGCAGGGAGGATTCTGGGTAATGCAGAGAGGATTCTGGGTGATGCAGGGAGGATTCTGGGTAATGCAGAGAGGATTCTGGGTAATGCAGGGAGGATTCTGGGTAATGCAGGGAGGATTCTGGGTAATGCAGGGAGGATTCTGGGTAATGCAGGGATGATTCTGGGTAATGCAGGGAGGATTCTGGGTAATGCAGGGAGGATTCTGGGTAATGCAGTAGGGATTCTGGGTGATGCAGAGAGGATTCTGGGTAATGCAGGGAGGATTCTGGGTTATGTAGTGAGGATTCTGGGTAATGCAGTAGGGATTCTGGGTGATGCAGAGAGGATTCTGGGTAATGCAGAGAGGATTCTGGGTCATGCATGGAGGATTCTGGGTAATGCAGGGAGGATTCTGGGTAATGCAGAGAGGATTCTGGGTCATGCATGGAGGATTCTGGGTGATGCAGGGAGGATTCTGGGTAATGCAGGGGGGATTCTGGGTAATGCAGAGAGGATTCTGGGTCATGCATGGAGGATTCTGGGTAATGCAGGGAGGATTCTGGGTAATGCAGGGAGGATTCTGGGTAATGCAGGGAGGATTCTGGGTAATGCAGGGAGGATTCTGGGTAATGCAGAGAGGATTCTGGGTAATGCAGGGAGGATTCTGGGTAATGCAGGGAGGATTCTGGGTAATGCAGGGAGGATTCTGGGTAATGCAGAGAGGATTCTGGGTAATGCAGGGAGGATTCTGGGTAATGCAGGGAGGATTCTGGGTGATGCAGAGAGGATTCTGGGTAATGCAGGGAGGATTCTGGGTAATGCAGGGAGGATTCTGGGTAATGCAGGGAGGATTCTGGGTAATGCAGGGAGGATTCTGGGTAATGCAGAGAGGATTCTGGGTAATGCAGGGAGGATTCTGGGTAATGCAGGGAGGATTCTGGGTAATGCAGGGAGGATTCTGGGTAATGCAGAGAGGATTCTGGGTAATGCAGGGAGGATTCTGGGTAATGCAGGGAGGATTAGGTAGTTCTGTGTGATCGGACCTTTTGATGATTGGAACAGTCTCCGCTTTAGTCTTCAGTTAGAATAAAGACTCAGTAAACCCTTCATTTGGATCATTTATCTTTATTGCCCTTATTGTACTGCTGATGTCATGGTTGGTGAAGGGGGCATGGTCAGCTGAAAGTGTAGCTGATAAAACTGAAGGTCACCAGGTAAAGCTGTGATGTCATGCAGGAGGAGGAGCCCTCAGCCTTTATGATGCAGCCACTCTTCTCCTTACAGACACTCTGCTCGCAAAGCTGACCTGCACACCCACGACATCACACAGTTGGACTGATCAGACTCCGCCCATAACACCTGAGCTGTGTCATTGTATTGTTGTCTCTTTACCTGTGGAGTTATTTGGACAGACGCAGCGCTGGAAATCAACGCAGGTTCCACCGTTCTGACAGAGACGTTCCGTGTCACATACGTTGTCTGAGAACAAATACTTATTTATGGACAATCATATAATATCAGGAGTTGATCTAATTAGGTGGGTCAGGTAAGGTCAGACTAATCATACCTGTGCATCCAGTTCCACCTCCCCGCCAGGTGAAACCAGAAAGACAGGAATCACAGCGCCTCCCTGTGGCTCCAGGTTTACAGCGACAGAAACCAGAATCAGAGCAATGAGGAGAAGAGCTGCCATCTGGGTCACAGTTACAGTCTGGAAACACACACTTAGACTCAGACTTAGACTTAGACAGACCTCATTGTCACTTCATTTGTACAGAGAGAGTACAAAAAGACATTTTGTTCAGTACAGCTATCAAGTGCAGCGGTGATCAAATGTAAATATAAGACTGTTACATGATATAAATTAACACACATCATCATCATCATCTTCACCATCTTCATAATCCACCATCATTGCCATCTTCATCGCATATATATATATATATATATATATATATATATATATATATATATATATATATATATATATATTTATTTATTTATTTATGGTAAATGACTATTCTAGCTGCAAATGTCTGGTTTGAAGCTGCAAAACTGACCTTCCTTTGAGCAGATTGAGTTTCTGGAGCATCACATTTGTGGGTTCATTAAATGCTAAAATGGCCATTAGCTATTCTTGTTCTTAGAAATGAAGGCTATTCCATGCGAGAAATTGCTAAGAAATTGAAGATTTCCTACAACGGTGTGTACTACTCCCTTCAGAGGAGCACAAACAGGCTCCTGCGGGTACTATTTAATAAAGATGCCAGATGGGGACCTGTGAGGCGTCTGTTTCTCAAACTAGAGACTCTAATGTACTTATCTTCTTGTTCAGTTGTGCAATTCCCACTTCTTTTTCGAGTCTGGTTAGAGCCCGTTTGTGCTCCTCTGAAGGGAGTAGTACACACCGTTGTAGGAAATCTTCAATATCCTAGCAATTTCTCACATGGAATAGCCTTCATTTCTAAGAACAAGAATAGCCTGATAACACCAAATCTAAATACTGCAGATTTGCACCATAGATATTAATGCTCTAAACTTCCATATGTTTACACACTGATTACATTTGATCACTGCTTCACTTTATGGATGGAAATGTTCATTTCACTGCTAAGCTGCTGCTCATTTACTGTCATGAAGGATATGCTAAACGAAGTTTTGCTTTGTGTACACTCCATTTAGAAATGCCAATAAATGATGTGTAAGTCTAAGCGACTTGCTGTGAGGGATTGCTGTAGAGTCAATCAGTTGATGCAATCAGCTGGTTTTCCTTAAATAGAAAACTTTGAATAGATCTGACTAGACGAACTGGTTGAATCGTCTCTGAAAAGGGACCTGAGATGACATGCTGGCGCTATAGAAATAAACTGAATTGAATTTAAATAAAAAGGTCAACATTTCCCTAGAGAGATCAGACAGCTGACGGTGAGACGGACGCTGCAGTTCGTTCATGGTTTTCGACCCACTAACCCACACAGATGTTGTCGTCGTCCATTGGCAGCGAGGTGTTTCTGTAGTAACCAAGGCGACAATACTGACAGCTCTGGCCTCGAGTGTTGTGTTTGCAGCTCAAACAGGTTACCACGTTGATGAAGTCGATGTAGCTGCAGCGATTGGAGTGACCGTTACACTCGCAGTCTGATGGAGATAGAAACACGTTAGAAGAGCTACAGCTGAGGCCAGTACCACGAAGCCCAACCTACTGGGATTCCTCCTAGTCTGTCCAGTTTAACCAGTCTATAATAATGGCTATCAGCCGTACCACCAAGCTGCTTATCAACTCGCTAACTCATCCAGCTTGAACTGATCATGAATCTGTATAAAGGGCGGGTTTAAGCTCTCGGACCAATCAGAAACAAGAAAGCAGGAGGCAGAGTGCCGTATTTCTCTATGATCTGGTGAACCGTAACTGAACTTGGGATGACAGGTGTTGTGAATTGGTGCTATAGAAATAACTGAATTGAATTGAAATAGGAAAAAAGTCTAAATAAAAATCAAAAATGGCGGTGGCAGGAAAGACAAAGGCTGAATATGGCAGCAAATGATTGCTGAGTGCTTTAATGACCAAGTTCCAGATCAGAGTCATTGAATGCAGCCTGCATCCCCATCACTGCAGATTAATGGAGGATAGAAATAAAACCCAGAAACATCATTTATCTGCTTAGATGGACTTTTTCATTCTAGAATGATTGGGCTCCAACAAAGCTGGAAGCTGATGAATGCATCATATAAGGCAGGGGTCTTCAATGTTTTCTAGGCCAAGGACCCCCAAACTGATGGCGAGATGGAGCGGGACCCCCTGATTATATATATTGTATCAAATAGTGTTATATCAAGCTGGTCCCTTAGTCACTCTATTACAGATGGAGTGATGTAATGACAAAAAGTATTTCTGATTCTGATTCCTGGTTAATGGGACAGATGTTGTGGATGAAATGGTGCCCAGCTTGAAAGAGCTCCTGTGTGTCGTTGAATGTGAGCATTGATGACTGAAAGATAACTGTAATTCTTTCCTATCAGGAAGTCCACAAACTGTAGTTAAAAGCCTTCAGCTGATCCAAAATGCTGCAGCCAGAGTTCTAATGAAAATGAAAAAGAGAGATCATATCTCTCCTATCCTGGCTTCTCTTCATTGGCTTCCTGTTAAATCCAGAATAGAATTTAAAATCCTCCTTCTCACATATAAAGCCTTAAATGGCCAAGCTCCATCTGATATCAGAGATCTGATTGTTCCTTATGTTCCTAACAGAGCACTTCGCTCTCAATCTGCAGGTTTACTAGTGGTTCCTAGAATTTCTAAAAGTAGAATGGGAGGCAGATCTTTTAGTTATCAGGCTCCTCTCCTGTGGAACCAACTACCAGTTTTAGTCCGTGAGGCAGACACCCTGTCTACTTTTAAGGCTAGGCTTAAAACTTTCCTTTCTGATAAAGCTTCTAGTTAGAGTGGCTCAGGTTATCCTGAGCTATCTCTATAGTTCTGCTGCTATAGGCTTAGACTGCTGGAGGACATAGGGACCCCTTTTTCATCATTCTGCTTCATTCTATCTCTATTCTCCCACTCTGCAGAATCTGTTAGTTCAATCTCTAACGTTCTGCTCTCTCTGCTTTTTCTCATAGTAGCTTCATCTGGTCTGTTCCTGTTTGGCTGTGACTCCATCCTGGAGAGAAATATCAGCTGTGCTGCTGCCATCAACACCTTTGTTTCTAGATGTTGGAGCTTGGCCTGTTTTCCAGTGTAGTCCTGTTTCTCTGACTGTGACTAACTGGATGTGCTCTCTTCATCCTCTGACATGGGAGCTGGCTCGGAGCTCGTCTGCCTGGCTGTGTGTTTCCTGGACGGGGCCGCCTGTGGAGCTGGTTGACAGTTGCCTTTTGTATCTATGCTTCTTTTTCTATCTCTGCTTCTGTCTCCTTGAACCCCAGTGGGCCTCAGCAGATGGCCGCTCACACTGAGCCTGGTTCTGCTGGAGGTTTCTTCCTGTTCAAAGGGAGTTTTTCCTCTCCACTGTCGCTACAAGCATGCTTAGTGTGAGGGATTGCTGAAGAGTCAATTAGTGGAATTGTTTTTCTTAGATAGAAAACTGAATCAATCTGACTGGATGATCTAGTGAACTGTAAAGTGCATTGAGATGACATGTGCTGTGAATTGGCATTATAGAAATAAACTTAATCAAATTAATTGAATTGCAATCTAAAATTAGGAGATCATGAATTTGCCAGCTTTAGTGAGGAGGCAACGGAGGCAAACTTTATAAATCGAAATGGAAGATAGAGAAAGTGATGTAAAATATTAAAAAAGGAGTAAGATGGAAAGCTCTGTAGAAGTTAGTGGATGGCTTAAATAGAAGCTGCTTTATTTTAGCCCTAGAAGGACTGTTTCTGTAGTCCTACCTCCATCGCCACCGGCCAGTACATGCCTTCTCTCTTAGCCGCTCTGTCTGCAGTGCCTGCTTCTCTGATCGTCAGCTGTCCTCCTTCCATCTCCCGCAGCTAGCCTAGAGGCCAGCTCTAGTCATCCGTTACCTCTGAAGCTCTGTCTCCCTGGTGGACGTCGCTATAGCACAGCCATCCTCGTCCAGCACCCTGTTTATCTGACGGACTTATCCGATCTTGCTCCTTCATTCCTTCCAAGTTAGCCTCTGTAGGCTGTAGCCCCTGTAAGCAGTATCCTATGTAGGCTGTAGCCTCTGTAAGTGGTAGCCTCTGTAAGCCGTAGCCTCTGTAACCCTCTGTAAGCAGTATCCTATGTAAGCCTCTGTAAGCCGTAGTCTCTGTATGCTGTAGCCTCTGTAAGCCTCTGTAAGCCGTAGTCTCTGTATACCGTAGCATTTGTAAGCCTCTGTAAGCCGTAGTCTCTGTAGGCTGTAGCCTCTGTAAGCCTCTGTAAGCCGTAGCCTCTGTAGGCTGTAGCCTCTGTAAGCAGTATCCTATGTAAGCTGTGGCCTCTTTAAGCTGTAGCCTCTGTAAGTTGTATCCTATTTAAGCCTCTGTAAGCTGTAGTCTCTGTAAGTCTCTTTCAGCCATAGCCTCTTTCAGCCATAGCCTCTATAAGCTGTAGACTCTGTAAGCCTCTCTAAGCCGTAGCCTCTGCAAGCCTATTTAAGTCTTAGCCTCTGTAAGCCATAGCCTCTTTAACCCAAAGCCTCTGTAAGCTGTAGCCTCTGTAAGCAGTAACCTCAGTAAGCCTCTGTGAGCCATATCCTCTGTAAACTGTAGCCTCTGCAAGCCTATTTAAGTCTTAGCCTCTGTAAGCCTCTGTAAGCAGTAGCCTCTGTAAGCCTCTGTAAGCTGTAGCCTCTGTAAGCCTCTGTAATCTTTAGCCTCTGTAAGCCATAGGCTCTGTAAGCCACAGGCTCTGTAAGCCTCTGTAAGCCAAAGCCTCTGTAAGCCTCTGTAATCTTTAGCCTCTGTAAGCCATAGCCTCTGTAAGCCATAGGCTCTGTAAGCCATAACCTCTGTAAGCCATAGGCTCTGTAAGCCAGAGGCTCTGTAAGCCATAGCCTCTGTAAGCCATAGGCTCTGTAAGCCATAGCCTCTGTAAGCCATAGGCTCTGTAAGCCATAGCCTCTGTAAGCCATAGGCTCTGTAAGCCATAGGCTCTGTAAGCCATAGCCTCTGTAAGCCATAGCCTCTGTAAGCCATAGCCTCTGTAAGCCATAGCCTCTGTAAGCCATAGGCTCTGTAAGCCATAGCCTCTGTAAGCCATAGCCTCTGTAAGCCATAGGCTCTGTAAGCCATAGCCTCTGTAAGCCATAGGCTCTGTAAGCCATAGCCTCTGTAAGCCATAGGCTCTGTAAGCCATAGGCTCTGTAAGCCTCTGTAAGCCAAAGCCTCTGTAAGCCTCTGTAATCTTTAGCCTCTGTAAGCCAAAGCCTCTGTAAGCCTCTGTAATCTTTAGCCTCTGTAAGCCAAAGCCTCTGTAAGCCTCTGTAATCTTTAGCCTCTGAAAGCCATAGGCTCTGTAAGCCGTAGCCTCTGTAAGCCATAGGCTCTGTAAGCCTCTGTAAGCCAAAGCCTCTGTAAGCCTCTGTAATCTTTAGCCTCTGTAAGCCATAGGCTCTGTAAGCCTTAGCCTCTGTAACCCTTTTTAAGCCATAGCCTCTGTAAGCCTCTGTAAGCCAAAGCCTCTGTAAACCTCTATAATCTGTAGCCTCTGTAAGCCATAGGCTCTGTAAGCCGTAGCCTCTGTAAGCCATAGGCTCTGTAAGCCTTAGCCTCTGTAAGCCGTAGCCTCTGTAAGCCAGAGCCTCTGTAAGCTGTAGTCACTGTAAGCCGTAGCCTCTGTAAGCCGTAGCCTCTGTAAGCCGTAGCCTCTGTAAGCCGTAGTCACTGTAAGCCGTAGCCTCTGTAAGCCGTAGCCTCTGTAAGCCGTAGTCACTGTAAGCCGTAGCCTCTGTAAGCCGTAGCCTCTGTAAGCCGTAGTCACTGTAAGCCGTAGCCTCTGTAAGCCGTAGTCACTGTAAGCCGTAGCCTCTGTAAGCCGTAGCCTCTGTAAGCCGTAGACTCTGTAAACCTCTGTAAGCCATAGGCTCTGTAAGCCGTAGCCTCTGTAAGCCGTAGCCTCTGTAAGCCGTAGCCTCTGTAAGCCGTAGTCACTGTAAGCCGTAGCCTCTGTAAGCCGTAGCCTCTGTAAGCCGTAGTCACTGTAAGCCGTAGCCTCTGTAAGCCGTAGTCACTGTAAGCCGTAGCCTCTGTAAGCCGTAGCCTCTGTAAGCCGTAGACTCTGTAAACCTCTGTAAGCCATAGGCTCTGTAAGCCGTAGCCTCTGTAAGCCGTAGCCTCTGTAAGCCGTAGCCTCTGTAAGCCGTAGCCTCTGTAAGCCGTAGACTCTGTAAACCTCTGTAAGCCATAGGCTCTGTAAGCCTTAGCCTCTGTAACCCTTTTTAAGCCATAGCCTCTTTAAGCCAAAGCCTCTGTAAACCTCTATAATCTGTAGCCTCTGTAAGCCATAGGCTCTGTAAGCCGTAGCCTCTGTAAGCCATAGGCTCTGTAAGCCTTAGCCTCTGTAAGCCGTAGCCTCTGTAAGCCAGAGCCTCTGTAAGCTGTAGTCACTGTAAGCCGTAGCCTCTGTAAGCCGTAGCCTCTGTAAGCCGTAGCCTCTGTAAGCCGTAGCGACTGTAAGCCTTAGCCTCTGTAAGCCGTAGCATCTGTAAGCCGTAGTCACTGTAAGCCGTAGCCTCTGTAAGCCGTAGCCTCTGTAAGCCGTAGCCTCTGTAAGCCGTAGTCACTGTAAGCCGTAGCCTCTGTAAGCCGTAGCCTCTGTAAGCCGTAGTCACTGTAAGCCGTAGCCTCTGTAAGCCGTAGCCTCTGTAAGCCGTAGCCACTGTAAGCCGTAGACTCTGTAAGCCGTAGTCACTGTAAGCCGTAGCCTCTGTAAGCCGTAGCCTCTGTAAGCCGTAGCCTCTGTAAGCCGTAGTCACTGTAAGCCGTAGCCTCTGTAAGCCGTAGCCTCTGTAAGCCGTAGCCTCTGTAAGCCGTAGCCTCTGTAAGCCGTAGTCACTGTAAGCCGTAGACTCTGTAAGCCGTAGTCACTGTAAGCCGTAGCCTCTGTAAGCCGTAGCCTCTGTAAGCCATAGCCTCTGTAAGCCATAGCCTCTGTAAGCCATAGGCTCTGTAAGCCATAGCCTCTGTAAGCCATAGGCTCTGTAAGCCATAGGCTCTGTAAGCCATAGCCTCTGTAAGCCATAGGCTCTGTAAGCCAAAGCCTCTGTAAGCCTCTGTAATCTTTAGCCTCTGTAAGCCAAAACCTCTGTAAGCCTCTGTAATCTTTAGCCTCTGAAAGCCATAGGCTCTGTAAGCCGTAGCCTCTGTAAGCCATAGGCTCTGTAAGCCTCTGTAAGCCAAAGCCTCTGTAAGCCTCTGTAATCTTTAGCCTCTGTAAGCCATAGGCTCTGTAAGCCGTAGCCTCTGTAACCCTTTTTAAGCCATAGCCTCTGTAAGCCTCTGTAAGCCAAAGCCTCTGTAAACCTCTATAATCTGTAGCCTCTTTAAGCCATAGGCTCTGTAAGCCGTAGCCTCTGTAAGCCATAGGCTCTGTAAGCCTTAGCCTCTGTAAGCCGTAGCCTCTGTAAGCCAGAGCCTCTGTAAGCTGTAGTCACTGTAAGCCGTAGCCTCTGTAAGCCGTAGCCTCTGTAAGCCGTAGCCTCTGTAAGCCGAAGTCACTGTAAGCCGTAGCCTCTGTAAGCCGTAGCCTCTGTAAGCCGTAGTCACTGTAAGCCGTAGCCTCTGTAAGCCGTAGCCTCTGTAAGCCGTAGTCACTGTAAGCCGTAGCCTCTGTAAGCCGTAGTCACTGTAAGCCGTAGCCTCTGTAAGCCGTAGCCTCTGTAAGCCGTAGACTCTGTAAACCTCTGTAAGCCATAGGCTCTGTAAGCCGTAGCCTCTGTAAGCCGTAGCCTCTGTAAGCCGTAGTCACTGTAAGCCGTAGCCTCTGTAAGCCGTAGTCACTGTAAGCCGTAGCCTCTGTAAGCCGTAGCCTCTGTAAGCCGTAGACTCTGTAAACCTCTGTAAGCCATAGGCTCTGTAAGCCGTAGCCTCTGTAAGCCGTAGCCTCTGTAAGCCGTAGCCTCTGTAAGCCGTAGCCTCTGTAAGCCGTAGACTCTGTAAACCTCTGTAAGCCATAGGCTCTGTAAGCCTTAGCCTCTGTAACCCATTTTTAAGCCATAGCCTCTGTAAGCCAAAGCCTCTGTAAACCTCTATAATCTGTAGCCTCTGTAAGCCATAGGCTCTGTAAGCCGTAGCCTCTGTAAGCCATAGGCTCTGTAAGCCTTAGCCTCTGTAAGCCGTAGCCTCTGTAAGCCAGAGCCTCTGTAAGCTGTAGTCACTGTAAGCCGTAGCCTCTGTAAGCCGTAGCCTCTGTAAGCCGTAGCCTCTGTAAGCCGTAGTGACTGTAAGCCGTAGCCTCTGTAAGCCGTAGCCTCTGTAAGCCGTAGTCACTGTAAGCCGTAGCCTCTGTAAGCCGTAGCCTCTGTAAGCCGTAGCCTCTGTAAGCCGTAGTCACTGTAAGCCGTAGCCTCTGTAAGCCGTAGCCTCTGTAAGCCGTAGCCTCTGTAAGCCGTAGTCACTGTAAGCCGTAGCCTCTGTAAGCCGTAGCCTCTGTAAGCCGTAGCCACTGTAAGCCGTAGACTCTGTAAGCCGTAGTCACTGTAAGCCGTAGCCTCTGTAAGCCGTAGCCTCTGTAAGCCGTAGCCTCTGTAAGCCGTAGTCACTGTAAGCCGTAGCCTCTGTAAGCCGTAGCCTCTGTAAGCCGTAGCCTCTGTAAGCCGTAGTCACTGTAAGCCGTAGACTCTGTAAGCCGTAGTCACTGTAAGCCGTAGCCTCTGTAAGCCGTAGCCTCTGTAAGCCATAGCCTCTGTAAGCCGTAGACTCTGTAAGCCATAGCCTCTGTAAGCCATAGCCTCTGTAAGCCATAGCCTCTGTAAGCCGTAGACTCTGTAAGCCATAGCCTCTGTAAGCCATAGCCTCTGTAAGCCGTAGACTCTGTAAACCTCTGTAAGCCGTAGCCTCTGTAAGCCGTAGCCTCTGTAAGCCGTAGCCTCTGTAAGCCATAGACTCTGTAAACCTCTGTAAGCCATAGGCTCTGTAAGCCTTAGCCTCTGTAACCCTTTTTAAGCCGTAGCCTCTGTAAGCCTCTTTTAGCCTCTAGAGCTTATTTTCATAATCGCTACGATCATGTTGTGGTTTTCTTGGGATTTCTAAACATTAATGCTCAAACCACATCTAAAATCTACTGAGAGAGCTCTGTGGTTGCTAAGCAAATTCTCAGGAACGGACGGGATGCAGACTCAGTGCTGGAAACCAGTCTTACCCTGGAAGTTGACATACATGATTTTAGAGAGCTGAGTGGACTTAGGTCCTCCTGGGATCAGAATCTTCTGGGTTCCTTAAAATGCAGAATGAGAGGTGAGACCATGACCTTTGACCCCCCCATCAGTTTCTGCAATCGTTACCTTTCTTCCCACGACTCTTGTCTTCCACTTTGCCTTTCCAGTTGCTTCCCTCTATCAGAATGTGAACAGAAGACACAACTTTTGTTAGAGGTGTTAACCTTTATGGGATTCATTATTTTTAATATGGTAGATCAGCAAATTTAGTTCTAAACACCTTCCACTAAAGCTTTACCATATAGTAAATGCTTTTTTAAGTTCTTTATAAACACCAGGGGATGTCTAAGACATGTCTCTTTCTAAGACGGCCCTTTTCCTGAAAAGTATTAACATGGTAGGATAATAAACAATATTTTAAGGAACGTCTTTTAGTTCAAAAATAATCCAGACCCCTCAGTCTTAAAAAAGGTGTAAATCTTTCACTACCTACAATTGATTAGAGGAACCTATATATATGTTTGCAATATAGAAATCTCGACTTTGATAAATAGCTATGCATTTTTAGCCCCTAGGTGGCACCATCTAGCTTTTCATTAGAATAAAACCTATAAATATGTGGAATCGGGTAAAAGTAGAATCACTTTGACTGAATAACTTCATCAAATATTTGTGAGCTCCTGTTCAGACGTCTGCAGGATGTTCGGTGCTTCAAATCTGCAGCCTCTTGCTTTCAAAAAAGGCTCCTGTTACCAAAAAAGGCTTTATTTGGCAGCCTAGACTCTTAAAGCTGATTGAATTTATGCTTTTTCAGGAATTTTGCTGAGGCCAGCTAACAGGTTAATGCAGCATTTATTGCAATGCAATCTTCACCAGATTGTACTGATAACATATATATTTTAGTCACTTTTCTGCCTGCCTCCCAAGAAACACAAACTATTGTGAAATCTTTGTAAAAAAGAATGAAAGGAAGACCCGTCCCTGATCAGAGCTAGCATCATTAGCAGCTAAAGGTTTATCTGCTATGCTATGGCTCAGAATGTTTTCTTTGATCATTTTTCTTTTAAAGACTTTAAATGTCCAATCAGGAAGTACTTTATTTCTGACTACAAAATAAGAGACTTGGAATCATATAATATATAATAATAAACTTGGATAAAACAGGCTAATATCCCTGTCGTTCTTTGCAAAGCCATAATAACCACATACTTCAACAGGTAAAGTCATGAGCTGACAGATACTTTAGCTCTTTATGAGGAAAACTTTATTTGACTGGTAAAATCTTTTGATACGCATCATATTTCTGATCAGTTCTAGCCATAATATAAAACCGTTATTTATTGCAATCAGCCACGCTCAGTGTTTTATACCTTTCTTCACGGTTCCACCTTTCCTTTCTTCCATAGAATCCTTTTTCTCAGGCAGTGGTTCTCCAAATCGCTCCCTCTGAGAAGCCGGTCCTCCTGGCTTGGCTGACGGGTCACCATCAGACACTTGTCCAGAACTAGAAGCTGGAGTTTGTCTTGATTCGCCAGAATCTATATTGGTAGTTGGTTTAGACTGATCCGCAGTTTCCAAAGTTGGTTTTAATTCCAAATCTCTCCCAGAGGAAGGTAGTGACTCTACATTAGTATCAGGAGCCGGGGCATCAGGTGCAGCTGGGGGGAGGGGAGCTGCATCCATTAAAGGGTCAGGAGTTCTAGAGGGATCTACTTTTTGGGGAGGTAATTGTGTAGGAACTAGAGGAAATGCTTGGACAGGGGTCACCTTGGGGTCATTTGGAGGTGGTATATCTGCAGAAGCTGTATTAGGAGATGGTACATCAGAAACACGTATAGTTGGAGCTAAATAGGAAAATACAACTACTGAACTCTCAGAGGCTTGAGAGGTTGACACTTTTTCTAAAGAAGGCGAAGGTTCTACTCCGGGGAGTACTCCAGAGGAGGATGCAACAGTTTCTGATGAAAGGGTAGCTGGTGGAATATCTGAAGGTGGGAATATTGCTGCAGGTGTATAAAGAGAACTTTTCTCAGGAGGTACAACAAGAGGAAGGAGACTAGGGTTTTTTTCTCTATCAGGTATATCTGATGTGTCTGCTGCTTCTGAAGGCGGGGCATCTCCTTCCCAAGTAGTTGGAATAGACCCAGTTGACAGAGTATTTCCAGGAGCAACCTTTTCACTGGGTGGAGTGGTTTCTTGAATGGTTGCTGGATTCTGGGCCCTGGTTGATGACACTGCACCAACAGAAGGTGGGATGACACTGGTCACCAAGTAAGCCTTACCAGGCCCAGAGAAGTCTGAAGTGGGGTCAAACCCAGACTGTCTGCTCCTGGTTGAGATTGTTGAGTTCTTACTGGTTAGACTGGGAGTGTTGGAGATTTCCCCCGGTGGTGTACTGATTAATGAAATGTCTGCTAAAGATCCTGTTACACTACTTGAATCAAATGATTCCCAACCAGAACTAGAACCACTGCTTACAGCAGCAGAAGCTACAGTACGAGTGTTCAATGTAGTATCAGCTGAATTTGTAGTACTGGTGTAGTATGCAGTACTGCTCATGTCAGACATGGGTATACTGCTAGTACTACCAAGTAAAGTGATATCAGCAGCACTATAAGTGACAGTAGTTGTACCTGTAGAAGTGATACTCTGTGGCTTAGTGGCTGCATCTGCTGAGGTAAGAACACCTCCCATGGTTGTATCAGTAGTCAGTGAATAATAGAACATAGGAATAATACCATCTGTAGTGGCAGAGGGACCAGAGGTGATACTTTGCGTCGGGCCATCAGTAAAAATGTCGTCAGTTAGTATGGGTGATGTCCAAACAGCAGTGTTTATATCAGTCTTGGTCCTGCTGTCAGTGACAGTGGAACGGGTAGAACTCTCAGTGTAAGCAGACAAAGTAGTAATAGTAGTAGTTGTATTAGTAGGAGTGTCACTCATTCCATCTGATGCAGCAGATGGTCCATCAGATACTGCTGAGTCACCAGCCGCTGTCAGAGAAGAAGAGTTACGACTCTTTAGTGACTTTGTTCTCCACAAATTCTACAAATCTGCAGAACATTGAACTGGTAGCTTTCCATTAAGTCTATATTTAGAGGGAATGGGTCGGCCATGCTAAGGCTCAATGCTGCTCTCCATAGCTTCATTTAGCACCAGAATGGACCTTTGGATCAGAAACGCATGGGAAACACAACAATTAAGGGATTTACAGCTAAGGGCTGGGCTTCTATGTGAACATATCCCACCATGAACCATAAGGGCTCACAACTAGGACTGGTTTTGTACACTAAAAACATCAAAGGCGTGGTTTAACCTCAGCCTTTTAATGTGTTTAAGTTTCATCAGTGTTCATTTCCATCAAGGGTTACTTCTAACTTTCCACAGATGAGAGAATCTCAGAGCAGATATTATTAGTTGTTGACATGAGGCCAAGTTAGAGTTATAGTTTCTAATAGATTCATCCTTAAACCTCTATTCCATAGTGAGTGAGTTAAGACTTTGCTTTATTCTCAGCTTTTTATTAAATAAGAAATAATCTGAATAGCTGTCATTTTTTGTGGCATTTTTATGCTGCAGTTCTCTCTAGGTGGTGTAGAATCTATAACACGTGGTTCTACGCATCAATACATCAGGTGGTTTCTGAAAGTTACAGTTTCTTCAAAATTACTCTGAAATATATACAGAAATGTTCTGATACTAGAACATTTATTATGTATCTTGAATTCTTGAGTGCTTTTAAAAGCATTTTCCAAAGTGAGTACTTCAAAACATTAACTTAAGGAGATGTTGGACAGTAAATTTTAGATACTTAGGTAAATAAGTAAGATTCAACTATGAGCAAAGTTGTAACTTTGCAATAAAAGTTGTTGGGGGCGCCCTAAGGTTGGAGGCTAGTGGACCTACAGCTACTCAACCCGAACGCTTTCAATAGGGTTTATATTTTACAAAAATGAGCTCAAACATCTATTTTTGAATGCTTTCTTATTGTTGAGAAAACAAGAGAACCACAGTACAGTTATATTTGTAATTATAGACAGATGTCTGCCTTTAGTGCATTATTTATGAATGAATAACAACCCCAACCAATATTATGTCCCAAAGCAACAGATTCCATGATATTTCACAGAGAACTGGGACTGGAGAGCAGCGGGAGAGCGAGGAAAAAACACAGACTGAAAAGGCTCTGAACACAGTTAGCTGCACCAAACCCCAGTTACTGTTGGCTGAAGTAAATCAGCAGAAAGGGGGAAAAAGCTGAAATTATTGGTGGGGACTGTCCCCTCCATGCCAAAGATGGTGGGGACATGTCCACTCCAGTCCTTCAGTCAATACTTTAATTCAAAACCTAACCCAAAAACCTAACCCTTACGACACAGAAAGATCAAGGAGCCAAAACTACCAGTAAATGTCTGCAGTCTCCACTCTGACGTAGACTTGCCTGTAAATAAGGAACCTCCTGGCCAAGCATCATCTGTCACCTTCATCAATTTTATTTCAGGGCTCAGAACAGAGGACCCAGGATTCATAAAGTATGATATCTCAAAAAATATGCAGTGAATAGTGCGGTGTCTAAGGCAGGAACCTCTGGTCTTAAAGTTTAGTACGAGCCCAGAGGATGAGGTGGACTCCAGTGGTCGGCTGCCGACAAGACGCAGCAAACGCTGCCCAGAGAGTCCCAGAAGCTGAAGCCTTAGAGACTAAAGAACAGGCAGGAGATCAGATCCAAGCAGACGGAAGAAGGCAGGACAATCCAGAGGACGAAGCTAAAGCCGGTGTCAAGAAGGTGCTAAGGAGTCTAGGCCAGAACATCAGAGATCCGAAGAGGTCCCCATGGGAAATCCAGGTCGGAGTCAGGAAGCAGTTCCAGGTTTTTAAAAAGGTAGAATTCAACAGAAGTCCAAAGATAGGTCAGACAAACCGATCAGAACGGGAACAGGCAGGCTCAGAGACTCTCACCAAGGGCTCGAATAATCTGGCACTGATGACTGGGAGCAGGCAGGTTAAATAGAGGCTGGAGCAGGTGACACAGATGAATGGTGATGAGAAACTGGGCGGAGCCAAGCGGGTGAATGAAATTAACAATAACACAAGTCATCAGCGCCAAGATCAGGACATGTTTGCACTTCGTTCTGGTTTTTAAAGAATGTTAAAACATTTGAGGCTGAAATTATGCTGCCTGTTATTTTTTAATTATGGGTCTGTTCTGACTTAAAGGGACAGCTAGGAACCCGACTCTGAAGCAACCCCAGCAGGATGAACATTCCACAATGGCTGGATTTTGGAAAGGAGCTCCATGTTCCACCTGAAACATCTATATTCCAGCTGCCTGTGATCCCAGAGGAACCAAGTGGCTCACGGTTTGGATTTTAATCATGTGAAAATGTTTCCTCTCCGTGTCATTGACTTGAACTGGGGTTCGGTTGAGGCTCAGCAGCAGCTGCAGTAGATCGCTTTCATAGAAGATGTGGATAAAGTTCCAGTCTGTTTTGCAGAGATCTGTTCTGACCTCTAATGTTTTTGGAACAGAAGCTGAACTCTGCTGGATAAATCCAGACTCGTTGTTTATCCAGAGGGTTGAGCTTCCAGCTGTTGTTACCTGCTTTCTAAAACCTCCACCTATCACTGGGTGATCTGTGTCATCTATCATCTGACTTCTGTCACTGTTACATCTTCCAGAGGTCTTAAATCACTGCAATCACCACCTTCATGTGTGAAAAAAAAAGAGTTTTTATGAACACTGAGATGTTGTGAAGTCATCAGAGAAGCAAGAAGGGGATTTTTGAAAAGTGTGTGCAGTTTTTCTGGTTCTTTAAGGTCCTGTGTTCAGCAGAGCAAACGGCGCCATCTACTGGCAGCCATCAGGGCTCTGTTCTCCTTCTGCATTGAAGTCAGACATGTGATGGTTGGATGAAGCCTCATTAAGCTTTAAGCCAAAGTCAAACAAGTTTAGCTGCTCTGACTAAACATCAACAAGAACAGATGGATGTCCTCAGGATGGCTGAAAACAGGAGGTGGACAAATAATGCAACACTGACAGTGAAGCAGACAGGTGAGGAAACAGGATGTTACTTACTGACTCGGCTCACAGGCGCCTCACCTGTAAAAGACACAAAGGTATCCATGGATTTCTGGTCGACTTTGTGTATCTAAGGGTCTGTGTGTGTGTGTGTGGGGGGGGGTCATACAGGTGTTAGCAGTGCCTCTGGGCAGGGGCAGGTATGATCCTGGTTTCCAGCTGCGGGATCTGAAGCCTCCTTTACAGCGCTGGCAGTCCTGTCCACCTGTGTTGTGCTCGCAGTCACACTGCAGCGTTGCATCCCGCATCACGCACTGAGAGGCGTGCAGGTTACATTTACACCTGCGGACGAGACAACCAGGAGCCATCAAGATCGAAGACAGACTGACCACAACCCAAACCTGCTGGATCTTCAGAACATCTTTTCTCTAAAGGCGAGCCCTAGACAGCCACATCTGATCAGGTGTGTGTTCCATGATCCAATACCGCCTGAGAACCAGAATAAAAAGATGATCCAGTTTCTTTTTATTTTTCTTCCTTTTTTAGTTTCTCAGATTATAAATTAAAAATTAGACATTCAATCCCAACTTATATTTTTCTATTTCAACTTTTATTCTTTCAGTTTTTAACTAAGACTTATGTCAGGACTCCTGTTTTTGTGTTTCTGTGTTTGTCTCCCTTCATCCACCAGGAGGCGCCTGGTTCTGGTCCGCCTCCTCACACACCAACTCTAGCCAAGCTGAGTTTTGCTGAGTCAAACTGAGTTTTTGTCAACCTGAGTTTAACTATGTTTTTGTCTTTGCCTGTCGGCAGGAAGTCATCCTGCAAACTGGATTTTTCGGACCTTCTCTCCCTGGAAGGATCACCTGAGCTACAAACTCAGCTGGGATTCAAACAGGAGGTTTGGATCCACTTTCACCAAGAGATCGTTTGAGCTTCGCACTGAGAAAGGGATTAATCTCCACTACGACCCGTTCAAGTACCGCAGGAAATCTGAGTGACAGTCAGTTTCTCCGTTCACCTACTAACAACCGCATTCTGGGTAAACCCTGTTCCGCCTTCCACTGAATCAGACAAACACTGGAACCACGGCACACAGACTGGAGTCAACGATTCAACAACTTCTCTGGAAACGTGAGTCAGCAACCAAATCCTCTTCTCCAAGTTCACGAGTCAAATTCCCCACTGAGCCTGAACTAACCGCTGTGTCTTTCCCTCACTTTACAGTTCCGGTTGAGCAGTGTTCAGAGCAACACTTCTCCCTCTGTTTTACCTCTTTAATAAAACCCGTTACACCTTTCCCCTGGTCTCTCTGTTCGGTTTTCTGCATTTGGGTCTGAACTTTGTAAAATCCTGACAGTTTATACGTTTACAAACATTTTGACCCCTTTCTGACTCCATACATAATGTTATGGACGGACCTGGAGATGAAAACTTTGGCAAATCCAGAGAGAGAAAAGGGTCCAAACATGGTCTGACACAGTAGTAGTAAAATGAGCCATTTTACTACTACTTTCACTATTCACTGCATATTTTTTTGAGATATACTGTATGTCTGTCTGAATCCTGGGTCCTCTATTTCCACAGCAGCCACTCGGAGAGATTAGCTTCATCTCTGCAGGATTTAGTGGGATGTTGCTTTGTCCCTGTGCCATGAATGTCTGAGGTTCTGACTAAGACAGAGAAAAGGTGATGGTTGCTCTGACTTATGAAAATGTAAACAAAAAAGCAACTTATGGAGGAAAAACAATAAATAATATAATACAAAAGAATAAAATCTGAAGTTATGTTTAATTTAGATCTGAATTCGATTTTTCTAAATAAAAAACTATCAGTTCATTAGCTAAAATTATAGATTTTCAAAAAATGGATAATAAAATCCTGAGGATTTGATTCAAAGTGGCAACCTTTCCTGATAGAGTGAAATAATAAGTTTTGGCACATTTAAAAGAAGTTTGTTTGAAAAGAGTAAAACCTAAACCTACTTAATGGATTTAAATGTAGGATAATGCTTTCTACTGGGAGATAAAAGGCAAATTTTTTAACCTTAGAACCCACCCCCCACCCCATAACAGGATTTAATTCCTACATTAAGATGAATGGTGGAGACTTTAAAATGATCTATTCTCAATTGATCCATAGCTCAGATATATCTGGAGATTAAATTGACTGAAACTTTATGGTTTTTCTTCAACAGAACATATTTTATTTGTTCTGATGAAGAAAAGGGTGGAAAGAAGAAAAAAAAGAGAAAAACAGCAAAGCTAAACTAATAAGGATCCATATAGATGCTGTTTATTAATCCATCTGGAACAGTTCATAAGTAAGATAACATCTGATCTTTCCTTCCCTCAGCTCCTTAAATTCAGCATGTTGGTAACTTTGACTCTCAGTTTTCCTCCCCATGAGCTCATGACGGGTCGACCCTTTCCTGGACCACAGAACGGGCCTGACCTCTGACCTCTGGCCAGACTGGGACTGACAGGTGACACATTAAAATGACCTACAAGACCTTTTCCCCTTTGAGACAGCTTTACAGAGGGACCAAGGTGCCTGGAGACCCTGATGGGGAACCTTCTCAGCCATCCTTCCATCCTTCAGCAGGAGGAGGCGGGGCTTAAAGACATCAAAAGAAAGTGATCTGAGCTCATCTGGAAGGAACCAGGAAAAGCTTCAACAATCAGAATAAAGGGGCAGAATAATCCCCTCTGATTGGTTAATTAACACATCAGTAGTCCACCTGATGTGTTGAGGACCAGCTGTTCTGCAGACAACGTTCAAAATGTCGCCTTGAAAAGATATGAATAAAAGTGCCGACTGAGTAAAATCCATCAATCTCTGTTTATTTAACTGGGGTGAATAGTTGAATACTTTTTCCCTACGACACTAGTCATGGTTGGATTCTGTTGATGGGATGATTGAACGTGTCAAGAACTGCTGACTTGGTTCACCTGGCAGGTATGTCAATGTTAGAGATGGCGTAGAAGTACTTCAGAAGGTTGTCGCTCTGGACGTAGGTTCCTCCCAATGCAGGGCGGAGGAGTCGCAGCCGCAGGTTGGAGAAGGTAAAGAAGTCTCTGAGACCCTTCATGGTCTCCATCCGGGTGTAAAGGGCATCCATGTTGATAAGCTTTGGACCAGCGAACACGCTGAACCGAGCACGCACCTCAAACACCACATTCTTCTCCTCCTGGAGCAGTTTTTGTTACAAACAGTGACATCAATCAGCAGAGCGTTCAAAGAGTCCTTTAGAAGTTTCCCCAGAGAGACCAGTTGCAGATTTAGTTACTCACCTTGGCCCCAACCCAGCGGGAGTACTTCTCAGTGCAGATAACCCGGGTGAGGTTTGTTGGTGCTAAGTCAGAGACCTGTTTAGGCGACATGCCAAAGGACTCCAGGCAGTCGTCAGCGTAGTACTGATACGGCTGCCATGTCACACCTGCAGGACAAAAAGCACCACTTTCAATGATTGTAGCTCTGTGTTGCAGCATGAAGCTTGGATGAGAAACCTCGGATGAACCAACACTGATCCTTCAGGTGTTTCCGGCTGATTTCTAGGTTAACCATCTGTGTTTTTTTAATGTTATATGAACATGTGAAGAGGTTCGGAGCTGCTGTAATTTCTCAGGACCTCCTGGTTTAAATGTGCTGGTTTCTGTTGAATAAACAACTTTCTGCTTCTACCCTCGCCCTCAGAGGGACCAGATGTGGTCCAGGTGTCCCCTTACCTTTGTCCATAGATTTTTCCAGCACCATGCTGGTTGGTCTCCCATATTCAAAGGTAATGATGATGTCATCAACCACCTCCAGGCTCTTGTTCCATGACAAAGTGATGTTAGCCAATAGAGGCTCAGGATACCTGGACCAGGTGACTGTCTGCCAATAGGTGATAAGCCCACCTCTCTCCCTGTCCCCCATTAGCTGAGGAGGGTGAGACAGGTCAGGGCTGGAGGCATCACACTCATCGCTGCACAGGTACGGGTTCTCCTGTCAACACAGAGCAAATGAAGAAAATCAGAGGGACATCTGAAGGGACCCTGCATTCCTTTGGTCTGATAAATGAAACGTGTTGAAAGAGGATGTTCTCACTGATGATGAACATATCTGTGACTGTTTTAGCAGCAGCTGTCTTGATCTTGGTACTGATGACTGGCTTCCAGCTTCTTTTTAAACTGCCTTCTTCCAGTCATCAGTACCAGTTTATTTGAGCCCTTGGTGAAAGTCTTCTACCATGTCTTAGTGTTTCTGATTGCCTGATCTTGACCCGTTCAGGCTTTGGACCTCTGAGCTTGCCTGTTCCATTCTGATCTGTTTGTCTGACCTGTCTTCAAGCTCCTGTTTACTGAACCTCGATTTGCTTCCTGACACCTTCCTGGATTTCCCTTCAGTGCTTCTTCGGATCTGTGATCTTCTGCCCCGGACGCCTGAACATCTCCTTCACACCAACTTTGGCTTCGCCATCTGGATAATGCTGCCTTCCTTCTTAGACTTAGAATGACTTAGAAAACTTTTATTGTTGACAGTGTGGGAGAAAAAACATGGTGCAAAAAATGCATTGATGTGGAAGTTCAGAGCATTAATATCTATGGTGCAAATCTGCAGTATTGTTGGTTTGGTGTCATCAGTGTGATGCAGAGTCTGTGATTTAAAGTTTTACACATCAGTTCATCATTCTGATGGCGGTGGGGAAGAAGCTGCTGCAGAACCTGCTGGTCCTGCATTGAATGCTGTGAAGCCTCTTCCCAGAGGGCAGCAGGGAGAACAGTCCATGGTGGGGGGGTGAGGGGTCATTGATGATGTCACGGGACACGCAGCACTGGGATGAAATGTCTTCAATGGAGGGAAGAGGAGCCTCCATGATCCTCTCTGCTGTTCTCACCACTCTTCTCAATTTCTTCCAGTCTGAGGCGCTGCAGCCTCCACACCACACAGTGAGACCGGACCAGTCCACCAGCTGCTCCACCTCCTCTCTGTAGTCCTGGTCGTTGTCATCTCTGATGAGGCCCACCACCGTGGTGTCGTCTGCAAACTTCACCATGTGATCGGTGGTGAACCTGGGGACGCAGTCGTGTGTCATCAGGGTGAACAGCAGGGGGCTCAGGACGCAGCCCTGAGGGCAGCTGGAGTGTTGTTTAGTGCCTCAAACCTTCAAAAGAAGTTATTTAGTTCATTCAGGAAGTCAACATTAGCTGCACCTGCAGGTCTAAGTCATTCCAAAAAATGGAACAAGACTCAGGGGTACATCTACACCTTATGGACAAAGAACATTCTTTTGAATCTCTGCCTGGCTTCCTGTTAAATCCAGAATAGAATTTAAAATCCTCCTTCTCACATATAAAGCCTTAAATGGCCAAGCTCCATCTGATATCAGAGATCTGATTGTTCCTGATGTTCCTAACAGAGCACTTCGCTCTCAATCTGCAGGTTTACTAGTGGTTCCTAGAATTTCTAAAAGTAGAATGGGAGGCAGATCTTTTAGTTCTCAGGCTCCTCTCCTGTGGAACCAACTACCAGTTTTAGTCCGTGAGGCAGACACCCTGTCTACTTTTAAGGCTAGGCTTAAAACTTTCCTTTCTGATAAAGCTTCTAGTTAGAGTGGCTCAGGTTATCCTGATCTATCTCTATAGTTCTGCTGCTATAGGCTTAGACTTTTGGAGGACATAGGGACCCCTTTTTCATCATTCTGCTTCATTCTATCTCTATTCTCCCACTCTGCAGAATCTGTTAGTTCAATCTCTACGTTCTGCTCTCTCTGCTTTTTCTCAGAGTAGCTTCATCTGGTCTGTTCCTGTTTGGCTGTGACTCCATCCTGGAGAGAAATATCAGCTGTGCTGCTGCCATCAACACCTTTGTTTCTAGATGTTGGAGCTTGGCCTGTTTTCCAGTGTAGTCCTGTTTCTCTGACTGTGACTAACTGGATGTGCTCTCTTCATCCTCTGACATGGGAGCTGGCTCGGAGCTCGTCTGCCTGGCTGTGTGTTTCCTGGACGGGGCCGCCTGTGGAGCTGGTTGACAGTTGCCTTTTGTATCTATGCTTCTTTTTCTATGTCTGCTTCTGTCTCCTTGAACCCCAGTGGGCCTCAGCAGATGGCCGCTCACACTGAGCCTGGTTCTGCTGGAGGTTTCTTCCTGTTCAAAGGGAGTTTTTCCTCTCCACTGTCGCTACAAGCATGCTTAGTGTGAGGGATTGCTGAAGAGTCAATGAGTCGATGCAATCAGCTGGTTTTCCTTAGATAGAAAACTTCTGACTGGATGATCTGGTGAACTGGAAAGTGCCTTGAGATGAGATTATGTGAATTGCAGCTATAGAAATAAACTGAATAGAATTATTAATTATAATAATTTTATTTTATTGATATCACATTGGAGAAATTCACTCTCTACATTTAACCCATGCCCCTGGAGAGCAGTGGGCTGCCATTGTGCAGCACTCAGGAAGCAGTGTGGGGTTAACGGTCTTGCTCAGGGACCCAGAGTGGCAGTCTGTGGGAGTGGGACTTGAACTCAGAACCTCAGGATTCCAGGCTCTATGCTCTAACCACTAGGCCGCCCCTCCCCCTGGATCAGAGCTCATCGGTATAGCTGTGTTCGTCTCCAAGGTGAAGCCACTGCCTCTAACCTTCTACTTTTCTCTAGCATAGGAAGGATTTATAGATCCGTGCCTCTATGTTCCTCTTCTGTCTACTTTTGAAACCCCCAGTCAGCCGCGGCAGAAGGCCACACAGAATGCAGCTGGTTCTGGTTCTTCTGGAATGTCCTTCTCTCACATGGAAGAGTTGAAGACGTCCCTGACCGAGGTTGACATCTAGCAGCCCCTCCACTGTAAAATATCCATCTTAAAATAAGTAACAATTTCCTAAAATAAGTGCATTTACCCGTACTTTGAGCAGGTACATGATTTGCCAGTGGAATGAGATAGCTAGTTATTAAGTACTTGAAACCATTCACAGTTTCATATTATAAATGTAATTTGTTGTATACTTTAGGCAAAGCGTCTCACTAATCTGCTTAATGTAAAGAAAATGTGCTTATTATAAGAACAAAGGCTAGATATTATTTATTGCAGTGTGTGGAGCAATCTGGGACTAAGAGTTTTACTGAAGGACCCAAAGTGGGGTTGTATCCAGGTACCATTTCCCCACATGAACAGAAGACAGGTGGTCCATGAACCGGTCCTGTTCAGGGGTCTCACATGTGGCGAGCTGAGAGAAATAAGCTGCCAGATTTACAGCAAGAGTGAAGAGTCTGTGATATATTTGGTCCTAGTAACAGATTAACACCAACACTAATCTGATCAGTGAGGTAAAGGTTTATCCCTAAACCCCTCATGCTGGTGCCAACTGTCACACTGTAGCTAAAAAAATTAATTGGCAGACTAAGAATAGCTACCGGAGACTGACCTAAATCAATCTGTTACACTGGCTTAGATCTAACTAAACTGAATACAACATCTGTACCGACTAACAAACTTATCACAACCACTGAGTCAGTTAACCCTCACCAACAACCAGCCCAGTCTAACTAACTATCCTTCAGCAACCAGCCCAGTCTAACTAACTATCCTTTAACAAACAGCCAGTCTAACTAACTATCCTTCAACAACCAGCCCAGTCTAACTAACTATCCTCCAACAATCAGCCAGTCTAACTAACTATCCTCCAACAACCAGCCCAGTCTAACTAACTATCCTTCAGCAACCAGCCCAGTCTAACTAACTATCCTTCAGCAACCAGCCCAGTCTAACTAACTATCCTTTAACAACCAGTCCAGTCTAACTAACTATCCTTCAACAACCAGCCCAGTCTAACTAACTATCCTCCAACAATCACCCAGTCTAACTAACTATCCTTTAACAACCAGCCAGTCTAACTAACTATCCTCCAACAATCAGCCAGTCTAACTAACTATCCTTCAACAACCAGCCCAGTCTAACTAACTATCCTTTAACAACCAGCCAGTCTAACTAACTATCCTCCAACAATCAGCCAGTCTAACTAACTATCCTTCAACAACCAGCCCAGTCTAACTAACTATCCTTCAATAATCAGCCAGTCTAACTAACTATCCTTTAACAACCAGCCAGTCTAACTAACTATCCTCCAACAACCAGCCCAGTCTAACTAACTATCTTTTATCCTCCAGCCCAGTCTAAGTTATCATCCTCCAACAACCAGCCCAGTCTAACTAACTATCCTTCAACAATCAGCCAGTCTAACTAACTATCCTTTAACAACCAGCCAGTCTAACTAACTATCCTCCAACAACCAGCCCAGTCTAACTAACTATCTTTTATCCTCCAGCCCAGTCTAAGTTATCATCCTCCAACAACCAGCCCAGTCTAACTAACTATCCTTCAACAACCAGCCCAGTCTAACTAACTATCCTCCAACAATCAGCCAGTCTAACTAACTATCCTTTAACAACCAGCCCAGTCTAACTAACTATCCTCCAACAACCAGTCAGTCTAACTAACTATCCTCAAACAACCAGTCAGTCTAACTAACTATCCTCCAACAATCAGCAAGTCTAACTAACTATCCTTTAACAACCAGCCAGTCTAACTAACTATCCTCCAACAATCAGCCAGTCTAACTAACTATCCTTTAACAACCTGCCAGTCTAACTAACTATCCTCCAACAACCAGCCCAGTCTAACTAACTATCCTTTAACAACCAGCCAGTCTAACTAACTATCCTCCAACAACCAGCCAGTCTAACTAACTATCCTCCAACAATCAGCCCGTTTAACTAACTATCCTCCAACAATCAGCCAGTCTAACTAACTATCCTTTAACAACCAGCCAGTCTAACTAACTATCCTTTAACAACCAGCCAGTCTAACTATCCTCCAACAACCAGCCAGTCTAACTAACTATCCTTTAACAACCAGCCCAGTCTAACTAACTATCCTTCAACAATCAGCCAGTCTAACTAACTATCCTTTAACAACCAGCCAGTCTAACTAACTATCCTCCAACAACCAGCCA